ACAGTTATTGGTCTTGATATAACTGAAAGCCGGGAGTGGTGTTCGGATTCCACGGAACAAATTAAATCGAAATCATTTGTGACTGTGTCCAGGAAACCAGCAGCTAATTCCCTTCCCGATTCACAGCCAACGGCCAAGGATATAACACTGCTATATCAGTTAGGTGAGTATGTTTCAATGTGTCATGTGTACGACAATATGTTTATATTGAGAACATCTTATATATTGACTTTTTGTTGCTGTTTTCTTTTGGTTTCAGTAAATAGTGCGGAATGCACGACAGATGTGGCGAAACCAACCGATAAGTTACAATCTTTTGATGTGTCTCAAAAGGATACAATAACTGCTGGAACAACCTGTACATGGGGAATCGCATCCACTGAAAAGAAAAGTCTCCAATTAAGTTTGGAATTAAATCCGGTACGTTACTCTCCTGTTTATTCTCGTTTGCTCACTTAAAATGCCTACTTCAAAAATGAAACCCAGATTAGCATAAGCATTTTTTTACTTTACCAACTGTGCGGCAACAGCGTTATGAAGAACAACATAACTCTGGTTATTGATTGATACTCTCTAATCGCATTTGATAAATTAAAGTTGTATTGGTTTTGTTTTATTCTTTTAATACCACTATTGAAAAGTGGTACTTTTTCCTCATTGTATCTGGCATTACGAGCTTTTACCCACTTCGTCGCTGAATGATATGTGGAACATGTTCTTCAAAATTCTAGCTAGATACAAATGAAATTTGGAATCAGTTTGGCTTTGTAATAATCTTCGAAATAAGAAGACATCACTCCATTTAATTAAATGTTTCATCCGCAATCCAGTGCTACCACACAAAAGATGTGTCTTTTAGTAGATGTTAGTGTTACAAATTGACAGCCGAAAATCCCTCATTTGGGTTTTATAAACTGGATTCCCGCAGAACTATCGACTTCGAGTTAATATGATAATCACCACAATAACCCGTCTCCCTCTGTTTTCGTCAGCCGGACACAAATGCGCATTGTGTGAAGGTCTCTGAAACAGGCAATACAGGAGCTTCAGGAGAATCAACCATTTGTGGAGAAGAAGGAAAAAATTTGTTCACTGCAGATGCCGGTAAAAACATCATTGTCACATACGAGGGTCCTGTTGTGGGAGAAGGAATCAAGGATTTCCAGGTGTATTACCAACTGGGTGAGTTCGAGGGAATGTTAAAAACTCACAAATACAGTTTGTTGAAATGTATTGAACGTTGTGTTGTTTGTCTATGAGTCCGACTCCTTCATCTCCGCACACCACAATGGAGTCCTTGATATAATACAATAACAACTTGTAGGTTGCTTCAACTTCATATCCACTAGTGATCCAAGTTGGGAATACGGAAACGCTTAGATTTACTCCAAGACATAGAACTGATAATTTTCGTTTAGCTCCCACAAACCAAATTAGAGGGGTTGGATAAATTCCCAAACTTCATGCAACCATTTTTCGAAGGTGACACCGATTCGATGGGATATAACAGTGATCAGACCTTTTCTGGAAACACTGAGCGATTCGGTTGTAGAGCCCTGGGTTGCACTTGGCTGATTCAGTATTTCCAACACCTTCCGATCGATAGG